TGGTGGTGGTGGTGGAGGTGGTGGCGGTGGTGGAGGAGATGGTGGAGGTGGTGGAGGTGGTGGTGGCGGCAGTGCTGGTGGTGGTTGTTCGGTGCCGTGGACTCCATTCCCACCCATAGTGACTCAGACGTACAACACAAGGTAACACTGCCTGGTCCTGCGCCCTCCTCACAATTGTTCTCACGTTGGAGCCCACTGTTGCGTCATCATTAACAGCACACTGCAAAGGCAGTACATGCAGGATATGATCCACTTGATGACAGACGTATGATATAGTCTGTATAATAGATATGATATATCCCTGAGTACGGATCCATGAGTGCGCTACATGCTATCACAGCTTCCACCATATGGGAGCCATGTAGCTCATGACAAGAAATACAGGTCGTCTCTGGCAGACAATGAGCCCAAACCTGACACCCCTACTCCTACAACCACAAGCAACTGAACCCTGCAACAACCAGAGAAAGAGAGTCCAGATTCCTCTTCATTCACGAGTCCAGAAGAGAATCCAACCCTGTCTGGTACCTTGTGAGGCCCTAAGCAGAGAGCCCCAGCTGTGCTTGAATTCAAGACCCACAGAAACTGTGGGGAAATAAAATTGTGTGGTTTAAGTCATTCAGTGCGTGGTTATATTGTTAAGCACGAGCAAAAATATTGTCTTGCGTTAATATAATTCCTCTTCGGCCATCAGTGAGCAATATCATCATAAAACTATGCTTGTATTCAAGTCACCCCTTGTCTTTTCTTCCCCTAGCTGAAAGCTGAAATGTGTAAATCAATGATTTCATACCCATTCTTTTGATCATTTTCAGTTCTTTAATCCATTCTCGCTCTGAAATGTGTTGCTTCTGGTTCTTTGTAACATAATAGCCTTTCAACCATGAGAAGCAGGCATCCTAACAGGAATACCTGTGCAATTTAACAACTGTTGTGGCCTGGGCCTGAGGTGCTCACGAAGAGAGTCTGGGTCGTTTGTCCAAAGCTACTTTCTACTATGTGTTGCTGTCTCCCATATTCCTCTAGGTTTTCTCATCTTTAGGCTAAACATCCACTCTTGCTCTTCTCTAATTCAGTCCCCACACCCCTCATGTTTCCAAAACAAATCTGCTCGTGCCATTCTACTTGCTATAAACCTTTCCATGGGTTGTAATGCATCTGCAAAATTCCTTAGCATCGCTCCCAAACTCCTCATGGCAAGTCCTCTTCCCATCTACAGTTTCATACGTCACAACTTTCTCAACCCCCAGCCCTGCAAGCTAAATTTTTATATCCAGTCAAATGAATTTTTAATTCCTGGAATGTGAAATGCTTTCTCTTGGATCAGTGCCTTTGTAAATGGTGTCTCGTCTTTGTGGGACACTCTAGTCACAGCTGACCCTGCTTTAGCCTAGCAACCTTCTTTCCTCTCTCGGACCTCAGCTTAGAAGTGACTCCTTAAAAAGACTTTGGAGTAGGCCATGGCACCCCATCAAAATCAACTGGAAAACACTCATAAAGGTCAACAAACAGACCTGGAACTCTTTATATGCTTTTCTTTTTGGTTGTTGTTTTGGTTTTGTGCTTTTTATTGTTTTTTATTGTTTTTGCATGTCTATCTACATAAGATAGGCGGGATAAACAATCTGGAGGAGAAAACAGACATGGGAGAAGGAGAAGCAGGGGTGCCAACAAACCCAGGGACAAGAGAGAGACAAGTGATCTAAAATCGAAGGCAAGGATGCCTGGTGGGGCCAAGGATGCCTGGTGGGGCTTGATCAAGTGCAATGTAGCTGAGAGGAATTACTGGGAGCCAAATGAAGATTGAACATGATAGTGGGACAAGTGGAAAGTAAAAGGAAAAATAAATAAAAGAACTATGATGCAAAGGACATTAGGTCTAAATACAGGCATGTACATATGTAAATATAGATATATATGACGATAGGAAAATAGATCTATGTACGTATATTTATATGTTAAATATTAAGGAGCAGATAGATGGACATCGGGCCTCTACTCAAGTACTCCCTCCATACAAGAACACTTTGTTCTAATAATCTGGCATTCTGTGATGCTCACCTTCACTACACAATCACTGAAAACAAAATGGGTACATAAGCAAAGGTGATGAAGAAAGCTGATGGCGCCTGGCTATCAAAGGATAGAGCAGCCATCTAGCTGAGAAGCAACAAAGGCCACATGGAAGAAGAACAGCAGCCAGCGTGATCATGAGATATGTCAATGGGATCAGATATCAGGCATCAAAGACGCGGAAAATATCATATCAATTTGCATGAGGGGGAGCATGGAGTGAAGACTCAAAGCCCTTCTGTAGACAGACACCCCCTTACACAAAGGTCACAAGGAAGAAACAAGCCAGTCAGGATCCAGTATAGCACTGATAAAACATACAACTTTCCTCTAGTTCTTTAATGCTTCCTCCCCACCGCTATCATGACCCCAATTCTGCCTTACAAATCCAGCTAGACCAGAGCATGTATACTGGTACTGGTACAGATAAGAGCTCGAAACAGGGAAGCCAGGACAGATAAACCCCTCAGGACCAATAATGAGAGTAGCCATACCAGGAGAGTAAGGGGAAGGTGGGGGAGAAAGGGGGAACTGATCACAAGGATCTACATACAACCCCCTGCCAAGGGGGGCGGACAACAGAAAAGTGGGTGAAGAGAGATAGCGGTCAGTGTTAGACATGGGGGGAAAATGTATAAATTATCAAGGGTTCATAAGGAAGGGAGGGTGGGGGAAGAGTAAAAATTAGCTGATATCAAGGGCTCAAGTAGAAAGAAAATGTTTTGAAAATGATGAGGGCAGTATATGTACAAAGTGCTCGACACAGTGGATGGATGGATGGATTGTGATGAGAGCTGTATGATAACGTACAATAAAATGATTTTTAAACGAATTACCTTAGGATTCTTTGTCTTATTCAAGTGTCTGGGTTCTCGGTACTGGCATGAAACGCTCAGGCTAGCCAAGCAGCCCTTGAGTAGATATACTACTGTGAATACCTGTGTATGAATCTACCAATAATGGGTTCGTTGTCTGTTGTCATCTTCAAATTTCACACAGACCTCTACTTTGAACACTTTTCAGAGATCTTCCCAAACTGCCCTGAGATCATTGGTAGGTGTTATCTTTCAAGGGGACTCTGGATTCTATCGTTTTAATCACTTAATTGTCTATATTCTTGTATTATTAACCTTGCTATATTCTCCAGAAGAAAGAGAAATCAACGATGTCATGTAACTCTCTTTCTAAAAGAGATACGCCCTTACTCACCTGAAACCCCACAATGCGAGTGATCATACAGGTGCCGCTGTTGGAGGGTAGACTTTTTATAAATAACGTGAGGATGGCCGTTTTCATAGCTAAAATGCTTGGAATCCTCTGTGGTATTCTTTAAAGGTTCAATAAAATATTCTTCATCTTCTGTAGCAATAACACCATGCTAAAAGAAAAGGAAACAGAGTTCACTAAAAGGAAATCTTTTTCAACAATTGCTATTATCATGATTACCCAAAATTAAAACTGAATTGATACCACCCCCCAAAAGAGGTTAAAACACGTGTCAATAAAACTGTAGTTAATTATCCGTGCTCACCAACACAGCACATAAATTTCTCGATTCCTTGAGAAGGTAATCCGCTCTACTAAGCAAGACGCATATTACTTCATCCAATCACCCCAACAATGCCCCAGAGTAGCTTGGAACTCTTAATCCCAACATTTGGTTTTTCTCCAAATTGTGCACACATCTTAACCATGTGTTTACATACAGATTGTGTCCCTAGAAAGTGGACATCGTTTTATAAACCAGTTTCACATCTATCCCTAGAATGTCCCCAGTGCTGACTAAATATGGAAAAATACAAGAAGCCATGGGACATAGAAGCCAAAACACAAGGAACCTGGTCCCTCATGGGAAGCTTTCTGACATAGTCACTGACTTAAGATAGAAAAAGAAAAGAATTTTTTTTAAAAACTTCTATTCTGATAAACCACCAACTTTTTAAAGATTTACCTGGTACATCAATTCATGTTTCCTTAATACACGTTCTCATTTTGCAATGAAGCGAGAGACTCAGGGATTAAGAACTTACCCAAGATTACACAGAAGTATGTGAAGGAGTGAGAATTTAAATAGAATCCAACAATCCCAATCCTACCCAACTCAGTAACACCACTTCTTTAAAACATGTTCTATGAAGAAATTTGAAAGTGCATGGCAACAATGAGTCTACTGGACTAATGGCCCATGCGCACACCAGTCTCTGCAACCCTGAGAGCAAAAGAACTAGATGGAGCCTCTCCCAATAGCTATGCAAGGGAGGCTAGAGAGAGTGAAAGAAAGGTGTGGAACAAAACTCAAGGTCATAAAAAGGACAAGGCGTCCTGGGCTGGTAGTGACTGGTGGAACCCTGAGAGGATCCTTCCAGTCTGCAGATAAATGCTTCCCCTACGGCTCCATTTTCAGCCAAACAAATTCAAAAGAGGAGCAATGACACTAGGGAGGTATGCACACTTACAATCATAAACCATTCGGTATCAAAAGCATAGCATTGACCCCAAGGACATTGTTCAGAAGGGTTAGGAAAGGAGGAGGAACGGAAACCAGAAACACACGAGAGAAGTGGAATACAGGCGGTCACATCGCAGGAATTGCAATCGGTGAGATGAAAACAAAATGTGTATGGACCGGTGGATGGAAAAGGGATCTGCTCTATAAACCTTCCTCCTATTCACACTGAGTTAAAAAGAAAAGTGCACGACTCCTAGGTGTTCACCCCTATTAAAGGTTTATCCCTGTAACTAACATCCAGATGAACCATTAACAAAAAAGGTTCCAGGCCCCATCAGTATATCTACACCCTCCTCTCAGCTCCAGTATTGCTTATTATCATTTATTTTCCATCTATTTCATACTTTTTTTACCTCTCATACCTTGTAGTTGGATTTTACATTCTGTATTTAACTTTGGGGCATGTTTTACCTTCTCAATTAGATGACTTGGTTCCTTAAGACAGAGGGCTACATCTCAGACTGCTTCCTTGAATCGATGAGAACCAAAGAAAAATATTGTAGCTATAGTAATTAAACCAAATAAATGCTGGATGTTGATAAGAAATGAGACGGCAAAAAAGCTACCTGCATCAGAATTCATAACTTTCACCCTCGTTGCCTTGTGTTTTCCTAAGTCTGCCATATGTGAGAACTGCTTTGAATCCAAGTAACCTGCCCTGAAAAGTTGGATAAAACCCAAACTCTCTGGGCCTATTGCCTCAGCTGGAAAAATGAAAGGGTTGGGCTAAATTAGTGGTTTTGAGAGAGCCCTCTAGGGAGCCCTCTGGGGTCCATGAGGTGCCCTCAGGGGATGGCCTCAGACAACAAAGGGAGACGTAGGGGGCGTGGATTCCAGGGTTTCTGAACATCCACTGTGCTTTTATGAATTTATATATGAAGTTTCCACATAACCTTTCAGTGGAGCAAAGGATTTTGCCGTTTTCGAAAGTTAAAACCCTCCAGCCTAGATAATCCCTAAAGCCCCTTTTAATTCTAAACCTCTGTGATTCAATTCAGGAAAAGTTACGTTCAGCAAGTGCCTCATATTTAGGAGGAAAGGTAAGACATAATCAGAGTCGCTGTCACTTGTAGATGAAGTTAACCAACCAACCGTCGCCCACTGTAAATAAGCTGAGCGCTAAGACAAAAACCCCTGGCTAATTCACCTGATTTGCACCATGGTTGGTCTTGTACCTAAAGTGCATGTAATTCCGAACAGGGCTGGCGGAATACAAGAACCGAGTGATACCTGAGCAGGCACTGATTCAAAGCGTCCATCAGCAAGGTGCTGGCCGCTGGCCAAGCAGGCACCATTCTTGCAGGAAGGGCAGCTTGTCTGAGAAGTTTTGATAAGAGGGAAGTAGAGGAAGTGGGGTCCAGAAAGACGAGGGCACTTAAGGCGCTCTGGGTGTGAGCAGAAGGAAATGGGAAGGCCAGAGACATCAAGTGTGGGATGTGAGCAAAAAGGGAGGCAGCACCTGATAAATAAACCAAATATTTGCCTTGCAGATTAAGAGGACTCGGGAGTGACAACCAGGGGCTATGTGTTCGGTACTGTAAACGATGTTTGCCCACATGATCTCATTTAATCCTACCTCTTTGAAGTAAGTACTACTATCCCCCCACTTTGCCAAGAGCCAAGGAGACGGGGCAAAAGTAAGAAATGTGGAGCCTGCACTTCACCACTACACAGCACTGAACTTGAGCTGCTACGGACCAGTTCGTTCTGACTTCTCCTAGAAATAATGCCTTTTTTGCTCTTTTTCTCTTCTCCCATTATCCCTCACACCTATCACAACCAGCTTCTCCTGAAAGGCCCATCCCAATTTCACCAAAACTGCTTTTGGGATGGTCACCAATCACCATTGAGCTCCTGGTTGACAAACTCAATGAAGGAGAAAGATGGGGCTTTCTATCGCCACATCTATCGGAAACTCAGAGGGGCACTTCTACTCTGTGGCTGTTTGTGGGGGCAGAACGCCCCATCTTTCTCCTTCGGAGCAGCTTGTGGTTTCTAGCTGCCCAGAACAGAATCACTGTGCCGCCAGGACTCCTGGGCATATGGAACTTATGCAAACGCACTTGGTGGATGAGCCTGTGAATAATGGCAAAGGTAGAAAGGCAGTTGTGGGCCAAAGGACGTGAAAAGGAAGCATCACTGGGGTCATTGAACTGTTCTACTCAGCTATCTGGTCACCCGTATCTTCCGAGGGATTGAAGGAGGCACTTTATTCATGAAATAAGAACAGAATAAAGGAAGAAAATCTCAATCAGAAGAGGAAGAGCTCTTGAGAATGAGAAATATGACTTCTATAATTTGGGGGTGGGGGAGGGGGGTACACGGGAAAAGGAAAAGCCAAACTGGAATCTCATAGAACTTAAAATGTTCAGGGTGTGAAAAAAAAAAAGACAGAAAGATGTGAGAGGCACAGAATTAATTCCAGACAGAAAAGGCAAAGGAAGGACAAATAAAGGAGGGAAAATTGAAAATTAGTTATCTGTTCAGTACTAAGCTGAAGAGAAATGCCCTGGGAGAAGTGTAGGGCATATGCATTGGACTGGGATCCTCATGGTCAGCAGTTCAAAACCACCAGCAGCTCCATGGGAGAAAGATTGGGCTTTCAACTCCTGTAAACAGTTCCAATCTCGGAAACCCATAGGGGTCGCTATGAGTCAGCATTGATTCTATGCAAGGAGGCGGAGGAGGAAGCTGAAGAGGATCTTTAAACTGAAAGTATATCCTAGTTTATTTTATGATTTTTATTTAGAGAGAGAAGAAAAGGGGACTATGCTTAGCTACATTATTATAAAATTCTGAAACAGGACAATTAAAAAAAATTAAAACAGCATATAACTTTCATTTCTATTTTAAATAACTAGAACAAGATTTTGACTCTCAGCAGACTTCTACACAGCGCCCAAATGAATCAATGTTAATTTTAAAATCCTTAGACCTTTTAAATCGTTTGTAAAGCTATATAATCTTACAGCTACATTTAATACCTGATTCCCATTGAAAATTTCATTATTCAAATTTCTGAGGGAAAAATCATTTTTTAAGCTAGAATCCCATATCCAGCTCAATTACTAATAAAATATGAAGTCAAGTTAAATTCATTTTCAAATAGGCAAGAACTCAGAAGTTTTAATTCCCATGAACCTGTCTGGGCTAAGTACTTGGGGCCATGTAACATCAACAGGCTATGAACTCAGAAAAGGGAACATGTGGATGAACCAGGAAACAGGCCATCCTAAGACGAGAAAGGTACAGTAAGTAGCTCAAGAGTTAATTAACCAGTAGTCTCCAGGGAAAAAATGCTTTCAGAGATTGTATGCAAAGCAATAGACATAGAAACTAAAAACTGCATAATTCTTAGGAAAGAAATAATACTGTTTTCTGTATTCGAAAAATAGAGTTCTATAATCCAGAAAAACAATATTTAGATAAGAAAGCCATTGTCCAAATATAAGGCAGACTAAAATGTGATATTATTTTGAAAGAGTAATAGACTGTTAGGAACTTTGTCCTTGGAAGAATGCAATGGCTGAAATGATGTGAGGAAATGTGATTAGAAAACACTAATAAGCTCTATTTAGATTCAAAATGCAAGTATATTTTATGTAGAAATATAGAAACAGAGTTAATTAAAAGTGTGGTTTTTGCATTATGAGAAAAACCTGTTTAGTCGTTTTTTCCTTAAAAAGATAAAATGAAATCAAGGAAGAACGATGGCATGGGTTAGTGGCTCAAAGTGTGAGGTGAAGCAGAATATTTACATAGCCTCAAAACACTTCCTCACCAACTCCTTATTAATTGCTAAAGGGGAAATCATAACTTTAGGGGACAAGCCTGACAGACTGCATCTTGATCAGAAATCAAAGTTAACACTGACCGCGAACTTCCAATCGGAAGCAAAGTAAACCAGAAAGAGAACGGGAACAAGAGACTAGCACATGCCTCGACAAGCGGATGGGGGAACCCTCTGCGTGCGAGTCCCTTGGATGCAGAAGAACGTCCATTTTGACTCGTACACCAACACCTTTCAAATGTTTCTAACCAGTCACCTAGATCAATGACTCTACAAGGATTTGTTTCCAATTTCCTAATTTCAGAGCTGTATTTCCTAAATACTTCTTTTTTTTTTTTTTAGATACCTTCCATTTATGTGTCAAAGTCAGTCTCTTCGTCTTTCTTGAATCCAGCATTCCCTGTCTCAGCTATGAGGCCACCTTCCCGCCCACTGGCCTCTGTGTAACACTGTACATTCCACAACCTTGCCCAATGATCCTGCCCTCGGGATGTAAGAGATACTGTCAATGGATGTTGAAGCAGAAACCTCGAATAGAGCCTATCATTTACCTGTTCTTTCCCTCCTGACAACCAGATTCTTTTGAGCCCTCGTCTCAGCAAGTGAGCATCGGTCATAACCGGATCTAGCCCAGCCAACAGCTGCCACCAACAGCTGACTCAAAACAAAAGAACGTTGCTCAAGGAGCAAAAGTCACCGGAAAGACGTCACCAAAACAACTTATTTAGAAGTGAGAGGTTCAATAAGCCGTTGTCTGGCCAAGAATGGTAACCACAGGCCAATGTATATTCATGACCATGCCTCAGAAATCTATTAAGTATTCATAATCACCTCAATGTACTTCCTGGTGTACACAATAAATGGTAAAATCTCTTTTTTCAGGGCCTTGCCTTAGGGACTAGTTCTGACTTGCTCCTTGAAAAGTAAAGATTCCCTTTGCACTTCCATCCAGCCTTTGCTTTGTAAGTCCCACCAAAGGAGGGAGACCTGGCTTGGTAATAGCTCTCAAAATTCTCACTGCCCACAAGCCAATTCCAACTCATAGTGACCCAGCAAGACTGGGTAGCACTGTGGGTTTGGGAAATTTTAACTCCTCTCAAGAGTAAAAGCCTGAACTTTCTTCCACAGACCAGCTGGTGGTTTCAAAGTGCTGACCTTTCAGCTAGCAGCCCACCACGCACACCTTCATCCAAACGAGAAATCTCGGTCATCTTCAACGGCAACATCCATTTCCATTTTATTTCAATTTAAAAAGAAGGAATCATACCAAATACCTACAAGAACTGAGCATTATGGATTTTATTAGATGCTAAAAATTCAAAACCAAACGCACTACTATCAAGTTGACTCCGACCCCTAGCTACTCTAGACAGAGTAGAATAGCCTTTCCGGTTTCCAAGAACTTAACAAGAGCAGACATCATCTTCCTCCAGCAGAGTGACCGGTGGCTTCAAATCGCCGACTTTGTAGTTAGCAGCTCAAGGTTAAATGCCACAAATCCTCTAACTTCTCACGCCAAGTTCAATTCAAATTCGTTCTATCTTCTCCATTCCGAGTGCCATTGCCTTTTATAAAACCTAACCCAATCCACGGGCCTGCTAAGAGAGACTGTAGAGGGCGCGGTAGAGCTACTCCACAGGGATTTCCAAGGCTGTAAGGCTTTGTGGGAGCAGCCTCCTCCATCTTTCTCCCACATTATTTCCTACCTCACTGAACTCATCTTCCATTTCCAGTCACGCCGCACTCCTCAGACCCCACGATGGAACCAACCTCTATCCAACCAGTAAGCCCAGTGATCTCTTATGATTTGGGGCTCTGTTTCACCTCCCCCCCAACATACACACTCTGTCCAGGGCATTCTAATGTAATCCTATCCTGAGCAGTGGGCAGTGGAAGCCAGGCACCTTCGAGCTCTGCTGGCCTCCAGATTGTGGAGACTGACTGATATTTCCATAATTTATTTTGGATAAAATTATTTTTTAAGTCTGTTTTGTATATGAAGCCGTAACAGGAGTTACAAGGGCAAAAATTATGCAATCCAGGTCTCAAAAAAAAATGTATGAATCATTGGGTGGAAAACCAATTTACTCTATAAATTTGCACCCAAGTCACAATACAAAGTTGAAAGAAAAGAAAGAAACAGGAATAAGTTTAGTTTCTACAACATAGCTATTTATTTTAAATATATTAAAATTTATATAAAATTATTAAAATATATTTTAAATATATTAAAATCTAAGTGATTTTTTTTGTTGTTCATTTTAGTTCACAGTCATAGAAAATGTATAACCTGGGCACATTTTTCTATCTACAGATAGTGAAAATTATTCTCCATCTTATACTTCTGGATAACACTTTTTTATACCCAGTTATAATTATATCTATGGATTAATGAAGATATTGGTATGGTGGAATGTCTTTTAAAACACTGAAAATATGAATTGGCCATCAAAATGTTGACCATGACAGGTAAAGCTTTAACGGACTATCCACACTAGTTTGAGTAGTAAAAGCAGAAAAGCACATAAATGTTTGTTCTGCGACCATTATTAGGTGCAACTTTGAACTATGCGTGTCCTATTAAACCATGGTGGGTTCAGAAACTCAGCGTCTACCCGCACTCTTGAATCCATTTTTTAAGATGTATCATCAATCCTTATATGAAAGTGAGGGCAGGTTATTCCACGGTTTTGCTTCAATTATAGGCCTAAAATCGATGACAAGTTTACCTACCAGAGAAAGATATGGCACACAAAAACGAAAGAGTCAATTGATAACTTCCTATCACATGCACAGATTCACACACACACAGCCTTCACCTCTTCAGGAATGACCAAATCTGATTTATGAATAAGATATATATTTATTTGCACAGAAAAATATACCTGAGCAAATGCCTGATGTTTCATTTACTTTTGTACTAATATCATAAGGCTTAGAAAGCTGTTCTTCACAAATTCAGTGCAACAATTATTTATTTAAAAGAGGGTTAAAAATAAAGTCAGGAGGGCAACAAACCTTTAGACCTTCTCTGTTGAAATCATATGTGTGTGTGTTTGCATTTAATCTGAGAAAAGACATTACTACTGTGAACTTGTTTGCCCATCTGAAATTTAAAAGATAACATCTACTTACCAACCCAACACAGTTGCTTAAAGCCACTTTGGTTGTACTACGCTGATCCTGCAAGTATCCTGTATAATGACAGTTGTCTACAAAGTCATGCTTCCACTGGGGTCCGTCCATCCCCCAGTATTCGACTGTAAAATGTTGGGACACAAACTCCGTGTTGAGAGTCAAGTTTAGGTGAAAGTGCTTGCCATAGGCTGAAAGTTTAAAGAATAACTTAGAGGCCGCCTGTTGTGGATCAATAGGGTGCATGCTCCGCCTTCTCCTTGAGTGTTTATCGTTTTTCACAGTAAAGCTGAGGAAAGCTCCATTCTGATCGACCCTTATTGGAATCGTTAGCTGGTAGTGTTCAAGGTAAGTCAGGAATTCCTCTTGTGATCACAAGGCAGAGAATCCAGGAAAAAACACATGGAAAAGAAGGAAATTTAACAGAAGAAGTAGCAGTCTAAACAACACACATTGGTTAAAACTATGCATACCATTACATGTGAGGTGGGGCCAAAGTGAGGTCGTCTCAAACAAAAAAAGAAATAGTAAAAGCTTAAAATCTAACAAGTCATCAAATTCCAGTCAATTCATTTTGAAAACATGAATCCTAAGCGTTCAACTCTACAGGAAGTAAGGCTATTTTCCATTAAAATAAGAAGCACTGAAAAGGCCACATACGCAAAAGCATAGAGTTTGACACAGATAAAAATCTGTTTATGAAAGACTGATCCAACAGATTTTATATGGGATTTCTAGAGCGTTGGAGAAATTACTCTTGAAAAAGCCCTTGTTGGGAATCTAAAATACAGCCGTCACCTGGGAAAACAGTCAGGCGGTTCCTCAAAACGTAAAACAGGGAGTTTCCACATGACCAGCAATTCCACTGCTGGGTATTGGATTCTCTTTCACAAAAGAAATGAAATCATATGTCCACACAAAAAGGTTTTGAGGTGAATGTTCACTGCCATGTTGGATGACAGGGTAAACAATCCAAATGTCCATCAACTGATGAATGGATACTTAAATGTGGCATATCCCAGCAGTGGAATATATTATTCTGCGACACAAAAGGATCAAATACTGATCTACGATAACAAACCTACTTAATAGTTGCCTCCATAACTCAAAGGCACTGTAAAACATGTTGAGTGGAAAAAAAACAGTTACAAAAGACCACATATTTTATGGTTACATTAATAGGAAATGTCAAGAAGAGACAAATCTCTAGAGATAGGACGCAGATTTGTGGTTGCCTAGGCTTAGGGAAGGGGAAAGGTTTGGGATGGAATTTGGGAGTGGCTGCTAATGAGTGTGGAGTTTCTTTTGGGGATATTGAAAATATTGAACAATTGATTGGGGTGAAAGTTGTACACTGCCATAGATATCCTAAATATTATTGAACCTTATTCAAATGGGTGAAGTATATATGCATTATATCTCAATATAGTTGTTAGAAATCATGAGTTAGTCTGAAATTTTAGAGAACGATTAAACATATTTTCTTCTCTTAAATGTCTTAACTATTGCTTATCTCTCTTCTTAGCCACACCTTCCTTTAACTAGGCTTACTACTAAGGGAAACCAAATGTCTGTCACTGTCTCGTTGTCTATACATGTGTTTGCCCACAAATACAAATTCCCATGAAAGCACCCCCAAGTGGAAAGACAGCAATTATTTCACTTCATATAAACAAGAGTTCAGACTGCTCTGGCTTTGTCAATGTGCTCTGAGAGCCATGCTGTGCACACGGACTTGTAGATCTAGACATCAAACAATCATAGTCTGCCCCATCAGCATCAAAAAGTGATCGTCTTTTGTGATTACATTCATAGGATGCAGATCCAAAAATATGCCTTTCAATAATTCCACGAACATAAGACCTGCCCATGGGAACAAGATATTTATTCCTGGGTACTACCTTGCCTAAATCTTTTCTATGATATAAAATTCAATTCAATAGATTAAAATTATAACCCCTATGGTCTAGGGGTTAGGATTTGAAATGTTCAATTTCTTACAACTCTTAATGCTTGATCAAAAGCAAGATCAAAAGCATCCAAAGTAAGCATTAAATCTACATCTCAAAGGTGGGGGAAGTGCTCTTTTCAAAGGGTCTTAATTGGAAAGGTTCTGTGTCAGAATCTGTCTGGTTTCTTCCTCTTTTAAAGCTAAAACCTTAGGATTACTTTTGAATGTGACTCTGCTCATAGCTTTAGTTAGTAGGATAAGCCTACCACCATTTAGGATTCAGAACAAGACAGCTATCATCTTCCATGAACAACTGATCAACTCTACAATTCATTGGGTGTTGATTACTAACAGGACAAGCTAAACATTCACAGAACCAGCAATGAATTGACACCAGACACCTCCTCCCCTACCACTACAGATCCCCCCAAAATGGCCACCCAAATAAATGTAATGAACCCTTTCTTGTTGCAATAACAGCAAAGGGTCTCTCGGTCAGTTTCAAAAGCAGGAATCCTACCTTGAGAACTGTAAGAAAGCCTGTGGTCACCATGAAATTCTGATGAAACCATGATGAGGCTCAAAATCCAGGTCAACGTCTTCCACAAAATTTCCATAATTTGAAAAACTGGCTGATTTTTAGAGGGCTACCTATGTGCTAGAGAGTCAACACCATACCAAAGTCGAAGCATAACAATTTTATTCTTTTAATGATCCTTGGAAATCAGTTATTAGCTGTTCCACTGTTTAACAGGTGCTTTTCTCCCAACATCCTGTGCTCTCTTCTGTGCCTAGATTCATCTTCTCAGTCCAAAATGAACATAATAGTGATGGTGGAACTTTTCATCACAAAAGCATTAGGCTGATTAGTTACTAAAATATGATCTTTTCATAACCTAGAAAAACAAAATAAAACAAAAACTTAAGTTAACTTAAAAAGTATCCTGCATGGAGAGACCAATTGCTATGTATTACTGAATGCTTCTTGACTCTGTTGAATGTAGACATAAACCACAAAATAAGTTAATGTAATTAATGATATCATTGTTCCTTAAACTCTAAATAAACATTCGTAAGACTAAACACAGAACTAGAAACCTAAATAGCTGCATCATGTCAAAGCTACTTCAAAATCAAATAAGATCATCAATCTTTTTTTTAAACATTGAAGAGACCAAAGGGTGGCAATGGTGAACTAAGCTCCCTTTATAAAACTTTTATTAAAGTGAAGTCTGTCTTCACAACCCAAGTTCATCATATGTCAGCCATAACCATGTGGGATGCCATTCTGTAGCATGCTTCTCAGCATGCTCATCTCCAGACCAGAGATTGTTTGTTGCTTTATGAGGCAACAATCATTTTCTCTGATAAAGTAGATCTGTAATGAAAGCTTAATATTTAACAACTGCCCGTAAATACCTAGACAGACCCACAAACTAAACTTCTAACAAGTTATAAAAACATTTTTGAACATATTTACTGTAACCTTTGACTTCGCAGGAAGTCTGTGAGGCAACTTCAACTATTTAAAAGCAACAAAATACAAACATATATTTTTGGAATGCCTCTCAGTTACCACAGAGCCTTGCTCACACACTTGACTCTCAGCATGCAGCGCCCCTCCCTGTCCTTGTAGATATTCGTATTTTGTACAGAACGTTAACATGCTGGGCTGACCAACCTCCCAGCAAATAGCATTTTGGAAGAAATAAGAAAGCATAGTAGAAAGGGGCCTAGAAAGATGCTCACCCATAGCACAAAAATGGCCAAAAACAAAAGCGGAGCTGGGGCGGGGAGGGGGGCGGTAATTAATCTGTTATCTTAGAGCTCCAAGGTATTACAGTTTGAGGTAGTTTATCAAAGAGCCCTGGAGGCAGAGTCGTTATATATTGGGTTGCTCACTGTAAAGTCAGCAGTTCAAAATCACCAGCCGCTCCATGGGGGAAAGACGGGGCTTTCTACTCTCATATTGACTTACAGTCTTGGAAATTCATATGGCAGTTCTACGCTGCCCTATAGCATTACTATGAATTGGGCCTCTATTCAATGGCAGTGAGTTTACATCTTGAATTGGGAACCTAAGATCAAATATTTTTAATCAGGCAATTAACTTAATAAGATACAGAAGTATATCAATGATATCAAATCTCTTTTTATCCTCCAACCCATAATACAGGAATTATTGAATGGCTAATGCTCACTGCCTAATTTGGGGCTGAAAACTGAATAGGGGTGCAGATACAATCACTGCAGACATACAAGATGTGTGTAGTTAATTAGGAAGTTAACGTATATGGAGCGCTCTATTCCCCATGATGCAAGCATACTGGTTATTACAGCATATAAAATAACCACACCACTTAAAATATCTTACGTTGGTGTCCAAGTTATTAAACTGTTAAGCTTTTGAGAAACTCATTCACTAATTAACGAATATTGCCTTACTGTGTTTAAAAGATGTTGTTGTAATGACATGGGGATACAAGAAAGAAAGAACAAACGTGCAATGCTATCCTTGCCCTCGGAGAGCCCATGGTCAAAACAGCAAAGAAACAAGGTTCCAGGCTGCCTGTGGTAAGTGTCATAGTAAAGTTAAAGAAGAGTTAATATGAGGGAGACAACACTTGTGGGTCAGAGGAGTGTGTGTCGTGGAAGGTTGATTGTAAAAGTAACATCTAGAGAGGTCACAGTTTCAGAGTAAGAATTCCTGGAGTGGAGGAAGCACGGCTACAAAGAGACGAAATAGATTACACAAAGTCTGGGTGACGGGAGGCGGGGGGTGGGGGTGTTGCAGATGGTCATAAAGGAGCCTCCGTGGTGCCACAGTTAAGTGCATGAGTGCCAACCCAAAACTGCGCAGTTCACACCCATTGGCTGTTCTGTGGAAGAAAGTTGTGAGAGTCTCTAAAGCTGTTCAGCCTGGAGACCCTGTGAGACAGTTCTTCTTGGTTCTAGCAGGATCAACACCAATGTGTATTAGCAATAACAGTACAATTGGTTGCTGTGCACAGAGTGGCAGAAAAGTCTGGAAAGGTTGTCGAAGGCCAAGCCATAAATAAAGACAGCTTTAACTATACATTCCTAATCCACATATATATAATTTTTTACATTGTCAAACCAATCTCGTGAAGTAGGTATGACTCCTATGAGGTGCAGACTCTAGAGAGCCCCTAATGATCTCTTTCTGATATTCATACCCTTGTACCAACCCCTTCCCCTTGAGTAATTTGAATCCGTATCATTTCTTCCATTAGATTACAAAAGATTCTGACTTCCATCTTGCTAGCTGATACCTCCGATGACTTCAACTGCTAAACGGAGACATCCACCTGGCATGGAACTGAGGGTGGCCACAACACGAACACCAGTCATTTGATAGAGCTCAACACCACCTCCTGGCTTAAAAATAAAACCTCTCCACCAAATAAGAATGGAAAGAAAATTCCTCGATATCATTAGGAACATATAAACAAGCCAACAACCAACATTATTCTCAATATAACGGAAACAAAACAAAAGCCTAAAACTCCAAACTTACTGCCATCAAGTCAACGCCAGCTCAGAGTAACCCTATAGGACAGACTAGAACTGCCCTGCAGCTTTCCGATGCTGTAACTCGTTAAGGGAGTGGAAACCCATGTCTTTTTCCCATGGAGCTGCTGGGGGTTTTGAACGGCTGACTTGGCGGTTAGCAGCCTAATCACCAGGCAGAGCCAATACTGTATTGGAAGTCCAAAATTGAGTAATAGGGCAAGAAAGGAAAATAAAGGGCATATAAATTGTTAATACAATACAGGTGATATGATTATATATATCTATATCCATATCTGGCTATATCTATGATATAGATATGAAATACCATAGAACTCCCCAAGAAACCACTGGCACCAAAAGAAGGTTTCAACAAAGTGACAAAGAAAATGAATCCATATCATTTCTGCAATTAGAAATGCAGAAATTTACTTGGGTCCCTCTGGACACGGGCCAGGGAAGAGGGGAGAACATCCGATTGAAAACAAACTGTTTCAGGGGAGGAGGAGGAGTTCTTGGAGAAGAGAGGAAGGACAGCTACCTTTAACCAGAACCAACTCTTGGTTGATGTCCAGAAACACAGACATGACTAGCATCTGTTTGTCTAAATAAAACCTTTCTTTTCCCTAAAAAACAAAAAAGAGAACTCTGAAAGGCAAATTAGGAAAACATACCATTTACAATAACCCTCAAAAAGATAAAATGTTCAGGAATAAATGTAACTGCAGACATTATAAAAGACTTACTCTAAAAAATTATGATGAACTACTTCAGGAAACCAAGAACTACAAAAATGAAGACAATATACCCCTTGCACATATAGGAATATTTACTGGGAAAATGTCAAAACTACCCAAAATGATCTCCAAATATAACGCAATACTAATCCAGATTCCATCATCATTGTTTAGTGAGATGAAATAACTAATGAGTAACTTACATGAAAAAAGATCCCTAATGGACTAAATGGCCTGGAGGAGAAAACAACGAGACCGAAGGTTCCGCGTGGGGGGCATGGGAAAGGGGGAGGCGGGGAAAAGGAAATGGGTGTTAACAAACTCAGGGACAAGGGAACAAGAAGTGATCTAAAATCGATGGCGAGGAGGGTGTAGGAGGCCTGCTAGGGCTCTTTCAAAAGAAATGTAACCGAGAGGAAATACTGAAACCCAAGTGAAGGCTGAACATGATAGTGGAACAAGAGGAAAGTAAAAGGAAATAGAGGAAAAAACTAGGAGGCAAAGGACATTTATAGAGGTCTACATACAGGCATGTACATATGTAAATATATTTATATATGATGATGGGGAAATAGATCTATGTACATCTATTTATAGGTTTAGTATTAAGGTAGCAGATGGACATTGGGCCTCTACTCAAATACTCCCTCAATGCAAAAACACTTTGTTCTCTTCATTGATGCTCGCCTTCCAGACACAATCACTGAAAAGAGAGAGGATGCATAAGCAAAGGTGATGAAGAAAGCTGATGGTGCCCGGCTATCAAAAGATATAGTATCTGGGGTCTTAAAGGCTTGAAGATAAACAAGTGGCCATCTAGCTGAGAAGCAACAGAGCCCACTTGGAAGAAGCACCAGCCTGTGCAATCATGATGTGTCGATGGGATCAGGTATCAGGCATCCAAGACCAAGAACAAAATTATACCCAATGTGAATGGGGGGGGGGGGCATGGAGTGGAGACCAATGCCCATCTGTAGACAATTGGACATCCCCTCACAGAGGGGTCACAAGGAAGAGATGAGCCAGTCAGAGTGCAGTATAGCACTGATGAAACACACAACTTTCCTCTAATTCTTTGGTGCTTCCTTCACCCCACTATCATGACCTCAATTCAACCTTACAAATCCGATTAGACCAGAATATGCACACTGCTACAGATAAGAGCCCGCAACACAGGGAGTCCAGGATAGATAAACCCCTCAGGGCCAACAAGGAAAGTAGAGATACCAGAGGATTAGTGGAAGGTGGGGGAAGAAAGAGGGAATCGATCACAAGGATCAACCCATAAGCGTCTCCCAGAGAGAGGAACAACAGAAAAGTTGATGAGGGGCAATGGAGGACAATGTAAGATATAAAAATATTCTATAACTTATCAAGGGTTCATGAGGGAGGGCAGGCAGGCGAGGGAGGGGGAAGAAATAGGCAGCTGATATCAGGGGCTCAAGTGGGGACAGAATGCTTTGAAGATGATGATGGCGGCCTATGTGCAAATGTGCTTGACACGCTGGATGAATGCATGGATTGCGACAAGAGATGTAAGAGTGCCCAATAAAAATGTTTAATTTTTAAAAGAGAATGAAAGAAAAAAAGACACCAAGGAGGGAAGGGAGAGAGAACCACAAACTGGACCGTAGACAAGCATGAAGTCTAGTGAAGAGAAAGGCAGTAAGTATACTGTATGGGAGAAGTCACCACGATGTCAGCAAAGCAAAGGAAGACACTGAAAAGTGTGCACAAAAATGACAACTGTGGTAAATATTGGGGGCCCTGGAGGCATAGTGGTTACTCATTGGGCTGCTAACCACAAGGTCAACAGTTCGAAACCACCAGCTGCTCCAAAGGAGAAAGACAGGATTTTCTACGCCAGTAAAGAGTTACCGCCTCATATGAAAAAGTAATAATAATCTATAAATTATCAAGGGTTCATGAGGGAGGAAGAGTGGGGGAGGGAGGGAAAAAAGTGAGGCGCTGATACCAAGGGCTCAAGTTGAAAGCAAATGTTTTGAGACTGATAGTGGCAACATATGTCCAAATGTGCTTGACACAATGGATGGATGGATGGATTGTGATAAGAGCTGTACGAGCCCCCAATAAAATGATTTTTTTTAAAATAGCTACAGGCTCAAAAAGTCACAGAGGCAGTTCTACTCTGTCCTCCAGGCTCCTCCAGAGTGAGTCAACGGCATAGATCTCGGTTGAGTTTTGGTTATTATGGTAAATAGCATGACATGCACATATTGCAATAGCAGTCATAGCTAACAGTCATTTGATAACTTGTGACTAAATCCATTGGGAAATAGCTATGCTTAGTGGGTGGCTGGGGTCCCTGGGAGTACACCTGACCAGGCAGTGTTTTGTTCCGTTGTACCTCCGGTCGCTATAATCAGAACTGATGCTGGCAGAATAATGTGATAAAGGACACAGAGAATGACAGCACAGTTTAAAGAATATAAGCAATGCCCCTGAACGGTACATGTAGAAATGATTGGAATAATGTGCCTTAAGCTGTGTAAACTCTCACTGAAAACAAAAATCCAAAAATACTTCAGACTTTATCTCTGTCCCTATCTCTATGTATATACAATGGAATACTAGACAGTGTGTTTGCAAAACTTGTGAGAGCCAGAACCCGTTTTCCACTGAAAGGAGAGAAAAATGGTAGGACTACACCCTGTGGCAAAAGACAGTCCCAGTGAGTTTGGGCTATCACAGATTTCCATATATATTATATATTTAAAGGAAGATGGCGCCATAAAATATATGAGTGTATGTACACTTTAATATGTAATCTCCCTTTTAAAAGAGAGATTCAGTATGATTAACCCTTTGAGCTATTGTTCTAGCAAAGGTGATAGATTTGTACTAAAGCATTCACCCAGTTTCTTCTGTTTTCTTTCAAACTAATGATACAAATGTACAATCTCTTTGGCTTGGTTTAGGGCACAACTATTTCCCCTCTTAAGAAATTTCTTGGGCTTCTGTTTTGCAACCTCCACTCTTACTCTTATTAACACAATCCTGTAAATTCACAACTTGACCAAACCAGCAGCTTTGAGGGGAAATGTAATATGTAACTACTTGGACAAAAGTAGACTAACATTTGATTAAAGTACTAGTAGTAAAAAGGGCATTGATGCAAAGTAGAAAGAGTAGGAGCTTTGAAGTTAAAACAAACTAGAGTTACACTCTTGTTTCCATTCAAGCGACAGTATCTGGCACCTGGGTACTCATTAAGTCTAAGTCTCTTTCTCCTTTCTTACCCTCTCCCTCACTTTCCACTTTCTTTGAAGCCTCCATGGCCCGGGGAAGGAAGTTAACAGTAAATGGCTAGATAGGTTAGCTGTTGACTTTAGTAGAGCTGAAGCTTATTCAATCTTAGTCATTTACACAATGAAAATGACTATGTTAACCTACTTCCTGACACCTGCTGGAGAGGTTAAGCTGGGCATCATACCCAAATGTGTGCGCACTGGCTTTTCCAGAGATATTCCCAAAGTTTGGACTAATAATGCGAAGATGTGAGCCTCATTCAGAAATCACAGCGAGCGAATTCATCAAGTTTGTCAAGCAGAAGCAATATGATGCTGTGGAGAGCACTATGGCTTTGAACCCGGGCTTGATCCCTTTGAATCTGTTTCTTCACCTGTAAAATCATGACAATGATTTCTATCTAATAAAAGTGTGTTGAGAGATTTAATTAGTTTATACAAGCCACCAAGTATCCACAAACTTTAATGGCTAAGTAAATGTTAGTCTTTCTCCTCTTATTATCTACCACGTCACTTCTCAAAGGTCTTCTTTCAAAGATTGCTTCAGGCTCCTCCTCCTCTCAAAAATGAAAAAGAGTTCATGAAAACGGATGAAACTAGCATTTAGGTGCAATACTGCCTTCTGTAGGAAAATGTAGCAAATTTAGGTCATGATAACTGTGCTGACAGCTATTTAAATTTGAAAAGAAAATCAAAACCATGTGTTTTGCTGCAATTTCACATAAGCTTTCTTGCCAAATACAAATGGACTGGTCAGTCAAGCTACAGCATCACTTACCTGCTTCCATGGACCCAAGCTCCATTAGCTAAATGCAGACAACACGGACAGCGGTAATTCCCTCAGTAGTTTGTCCTGGCTAACGGGTATTACTTGTCTTTGCCCTCTGTCTCTTTACTTCCCACTCAAGTGATCTGGGAGCAGCCAAGGTAATAATTTCCTCTCGTGAACTATGATTATGGAATTAAAGAACATGTACAACATCCTCCTCAACTTCTTTCATTCAGTTTAACTCTGGCTATATATTTAAAGGCTGACGTGTATTTTCAGGTCTGCAAGGAGGAAGTAACAATATCATCCTCCCTTCAGGTATTTGATTTTTATACAAGAAAATTAACTTCCCGTTTCATTTTCCATTTATTCTCTCAACAAATACTGTCATCAACGACTATGCCAAGGCCCACCATTGGGCTCTAAGGACAAAGTTTTCCCGATCATTTATAAACTTTGTGAGATTGGTTGCCAACGAAAAGATTCATTCAACAGATCAATCACTCAAAACCTATCACGAAAAGCAAAGGAGCCAAAGCAGAAATGCAGAAAACTATTTTCCCAGCATCCACCTCTACACTGCCCAGAGTCATCCGATCCCCCACCCCAGATAACAAGGTAAATATATGTTATCGGTGCCATAATTCTTCTCTGTAAAACAGAAACGACACCCCCACCCACCCGTAGGTTAGTTCGGAAAGTTGATAATCAACCATGGCTTTTGGTAGAAGCCCTCTTCCCCTCCCCCCAAAGACTATGCTGTTCACTCCCTTCATCGTTTAACTCCCTTCAAGTTCTCCCTGGTCACACAGCTAGGTGAGATACGGCACAGAGATCCAGCTAAGCCACCAGTAGCGACTGGTGGTTGCTAAGGAAACAAAGAGGAAGTTGTCAGAATAGACAAGAGCAGGAATTAATCTTTCAGGTATTGGACCAGACATGAAAAGCGTTCTAAGATTTCAGGGCTTGAGGTTAGAGGTTCCCCCCTTGGGGCTCCCTGGAACATTCATCCCACACCACAGATTGTACTGTGGCCCTCTGCGAAGTGTGCCTACAGCTGACTGCTTTACATCGTCGGCTGGGCCTCCACAAGCTAGTCTTCCAAACTCCCCACCACCAGTGCCTACGTTTACAGGCGACGTGACCAGAAACCAGAGTCTCGCTCCCACCTAGGTGAAATCCAAGGAGGCAATGATCTCCCGAGGTAATTTCCTCAAATGACCACTCGTCTGATTTTTCTTTCCTGGTCAAAAATGCGGAGACCTGTCATTTTCGTGTCTCAAAGTCTCCGTTCGCCTAAAAAGGAAGGAAAGCAAGAAAAAGAGCCCAAGAAATCAGAACATAAAAGAAGACATTGAAAAATCACACTCGGCTGCCCTTTTAAATGTTCTGTTTAAAAGTGCAGTCTCTCCTTTCCTGCACACCCGCGTCCCCACCCCCCCACCCCCACCCCCCACGCCACTTCATCCAGACAGAAGGTAACAGTCTGAGCTGCCCTGGTTGAGTTGATCCTAAAGTTAACATTCAGCAGCCCATTTCCAGACAGCAGCGCTAAATCTATTTGGATAAAACGCGTGTGACCCAGACAGTTGGCATTTGGCCCAAAAGCGTTGCACCGGCAGCTCAAATAAAAACAAGAGTAAGAAACTCACTCTCTTGTTCCCTCTCAGTGCGCTGTCTCACTCTCTCTCGCTTTGCTTCTCGTACAACAATGAAAGAAATGACCAAAGGCAGAAGTGCAGCACATATTCTCAGAAGACAGTTTTCCAATACCCCTCCACTCCTGTTGTCGTGCCCCCTCAACACCCCCCACCCCCCAAAGCCCCCAACTTCGTCCCCTACGACGTACAGACAGACAGACCTCGATAAACAAGGCTCCGGAGGGTTATGGGTCTAGCACGTCCCAAGTGGCCAAAAGTAAATCAAAAACACACGCTTCCATCTCTTTGATTAGCCTATTAAGAGCTTACCATGTCCTGGAGCATCGTGGCTGCAGCTAGCGCATTAAGGCTGCTCTCTGAGACCAGGCATAAAATATGCACTTGTCTGACTGCTTAAGACACTGACATAACACCATAAAATGCACCCGGTTTCCCTTACGAAATCTGCAAATCGGTGGAAAACACACCTTATCACTGCTTTCCCGATGGCCATTTGGTGATTCCTTCCAGTGGCACAAAAATCACAATCAAGTCATACTTCATAAAACATGTCAATTCATATAAACAAGGTAAGATATATATATATCATCATCAAATACTTGCACACCCTAGAGTCCTCCAACCCCCGATCAGTCTGGAGTTCCAAAGATTTCTATCTATAAAATGAGTTCACTTAAGCTCACTCATTGCCATGAAACACACACACATACACACACACACACACACACGGAAAAAAAAGTTTTCGACGCGTTATTCGGAAGATAAGCAAAGCACAGTTAGAAAATAGTTTCATTGAATAATGTGAAGTCTTCCTTACCGTTTTCATCTTCAAAGTCTGATAAAAAGTAAGTTTCAAACAATAGATTGCACTGGACGTCTCACGTACTCCCTCTCCTCTGCCTTCTCTCTCTCTCTGCCCCCCCCCTTTGCAAAGCCACACCAACCAGTTATTCTGCAGCCAGAATAAAACCCTATAGTCTGACTAGCCCGAGCTTTAGAGAGCGGACTTCCCGCTTTGGCAGGAAAAAAGAGAGAGATGCCTTCAATACATCCAGGCTCTCACCCTGACAGGCTGCTGCCTTTGCAAAACGCCCTTTCTTTCCACCTCCACCGGCCCCCCACCAAAAAAATAAATAAATAAAGGGAAAGAGGGGGTGGGAGGAAGGAAAACGGACTTATTGGGGGTGGAAGTGGTGCCCTCTCTTCCTGGACAGCTTAGTGCCTTCGCTGTGCAAATAACACGTGAAGAGCATCAAAAGGTATCAGGAGAAAAGCAGCCAGAGGCGCAGGAAGGGCAGCAGAGCTGGGTTGAAGTAGTCCTAGACCTCACGGCCGGCCCCCGGCCAACTTGAACTGCAGCAGGAGAAACTTTTGGCAGCTTTTCCACGGAGGCAGAGCACACTGACGTCAGTCTGCAGATGTGCCTGGGCTGCGTCGGGTGCGCATGTGTCCCGGGTCGTCACGTGGAGGGGGAGGGGAGGGAGAGGTACAATCGGGGTAACCAACGACCAGCCATTCAGAAAGGCTTAGACAATGTCAACTTTTCCACCCTGTGAATGAGACCAACCCTGGCCCCTCTCACCTCGCTCCCTGCCCCACTCCGCCTCTTCTCCTCTAACCTCTTTTAGAAACTCTAGCCTGCCTTGTGATTACTTGTTTCTTGGGGGCGGGGGGGGGGAGAGGAGGGGGAGGAGGGGGAGGAGGTTCAGGAGAGGATGGATGAGTTTGGATGGACTCTTGTCACTAGTGAGATCTCCAGTGTCTTTCTCAGTTAAAAAAAAAAATGTTTTTAATCCGGGCCATAAAAACGTTCAAAGTAGCACATGTTGATTATAAACAGTGCCTTTGAGGGACCTCAGAGCAAGCTTAGATCAGTGTAGCTGACGGCTCTCGTGTGGATAAAACGCCTGTGTTTTATATAGACCTTTAACAAGTAAGGTTGTCCCCAAAAGAGAAAGTAAACAGCCCAGTGCATTTCCCATCTGATTATGAGCTTCAGGTTATGTGGAACTTAGAAAGAAAGGGCAGGGGAAACGGAGCAGGGGGCGGGCGGGGGCAGCTTGCATTATTTCCAGATGAGGGGGAGACTGGATGGTGTTTTCAAGTGCAGCCGGGAAAGCTACAAGCGGCGTGGATTTCTGTAAGTCGGCACATTGAATGAAGCCCCGACGACGGCCCCAAGAAAACACATCCGAATCAGACCCCATCCCGCCCCCTAAAAAAAGACCGGGAGGGCGGTGAGGGGCTGAGGAACACTGCGGCGATCTCCAAAGAAACAAACCAAACCTTAAAACTGGCTTTTCGAGCTCGGCGAGCGCTGCCGCCCCCTCCCGCTCCGGTTCCCAGACAGCCCAGCCGCCGGTGCAAACGCGGAGCATAAAATCCTGCTACAACGTAGCACTTTCGCTTTCATTTGCTGGGAGAAAGGCACCGGCATGAAACCGGGGGGGGCGGGGGGGGTGGATTTGTTCTCCGTGTTCTAAGCGAGAAAACAAACCCTGGCACACGGTTCGGAAACCGGGAGGCAGAGGTGATCGTAGTGGAGGGCGATCGTCGCCTTTCAGCGGCGGGATCTGCTGCAGTCATTGACCTCTGGCTGCAGGAGTGCAGGGTGCCGGCGGCGGGGCTGGGGCAGGGGTGTGGGGAGGGGTTGACGCTCGGACATTCCAGCCCCTAGTGGTCGCCAAGTCCATTTCCGATGGCCAGGAGCAGCGAGGCAAGAGGGTGAAGAAGCAGGACCTTGCTGTACCCCGGGTGGCTCTAAAGTTTCAAGCTTCTGTTAACATTATTGCCCGTTTGATTTTTTTTACATTATTATTCTTCATCCTACGCCGGAGGTAGTAGGTGTAATACTTCTGGTGAATCCATGAATAGTTGGCTAAAAGAAGGGATGAATCAGACTGAGAACGTCCAAGAACCCAGTGACTTCAATTCTTCTTCTAGGGGTGAAACGGGAACGCATCTATCTGTCTGTCCACATAATCAATAGTCCTCATCTTGACCGCAGTCAGTGGTATTTGGCTCGATGCCATTGAAACAAAGAAATACATCCCGTAGTTGGCATTGATGGTTTTAAACCAAGATGACCCATCAATGTATATGTTGCCATAGGAACCTTCCCTATTTAAAACTGACAGTACATATAGTCTACACCAGGAGGGAGAGCACAAAACGGTTTGTGGGGAAACGGAACTGAAAGATCATGGAATTTTTCCACGAGAAGTTAGAAGCTCCCTCTAATGCAACTATAGAACCCAATAAATAAATAAATATGCTCCTTTTTAATTTTAATTGAAATGCAGGCGGTGGCTAATCACGGTAGGAAGAGTGTAAACATTAAGAGGGCTGAGCACAGAGCTGTTTGCACCAGGCTCCCTTTAAAAATTCGGGAACTCTCCTTCGATGATCAAGAATGGGCAGAAGATGCACAGCGCCCGCAGGGCAGACCAAAGTGACGGCGGGACAGTGCTCCTCTATGCGGGCTGTCTCCAAAGATGCTATCCTCACCTCACACAAGCTGTCCCCAAAAGCGACAGCACGGAGGAGGTTATCCTGTGAGAAGTGGGCTTTGGGTCATTACTTATTCAAAGAGTGCCATCCTGCGTCTAAACAGAGTAATGAAAACGTTCCCGCAAACTGATTTTTCTCCACCTACAAATGACCGTGCTTTAAAGTTGGAAGGGAAGTAAAAAGGAAGGTACCTATGGCAAGGGTGAAAAATGATTAGCATGAAAAACGGTGGCGTCGAGTTGTATTCGTATATATTTGAAATTTTCCAGAGTGAATTCTATAAATCAAATTCTGAAACTTTCAAAAATACGTAAATTCATCTAAATAGTTTTATAAAGCTCTTATGTAGCTATTTATCAATTCTAACAAGTGTCGGCTAACAACTAATTTTATTTTATCTCAATCACTGTTTACTCATGCTATCGGAATATTTTCAAGCCAATCCCAGATATCATTTAAATGCATCCATTAAGATGTCTGTCTATTTCGGGTCAGTGAGGTGGTAGGGGTGGTGGAGAAGAAGAACAAAAAAATATATAACCACCACGACACCACTACTTACAAAATAATGATAATTTTTCAATTTGACCAAATATCAATGTCCATTGCTTCCACAAATTGCACATAAAGACTTGGCAAATGGAGTTCTGTCATGGCGGGAGTTCGTGGACTGTTTCTTTGTGTTTTCTGTGCTGCCATCGCAACTGGACAATGCAGATCTTTGTGAAAACTGTAACTGGTAAGACCATCACCCTTGAGGTGGAGCCCAGGGCCACCATTGAGAATATCAGGGCAAAGATCCAAGACAAGGAAGGCATCCCTCCTGACCAGCAGAGGCTGATCTTTGCTGGGAAACAGCTGGAAGATGGCCGCACCCAGTCTAACTACAACATCCAGAAAGAATCGACCCTGCACCTGGTCCCACGCTTGAGAGGGCGTGTCTAAGTTTTGCCTCCTTTTAAGCTTTCAACAAGTTACGTTGCACTTTCCTTTAAATAAAGTTGTTGCATTACTTCTCCC